TTGTGGTCTCGCCTCCTGCCCTATGGTAGTGCTCACGTGTGGGGTGCGGTATGTTCGCAATTTAAGATTCACGTGTTAGTCCTGTGTCTTGTCTTTATTATATGATTCCTGATTCAAAGCATTACAGAAAATGTATCATCTTCCTTAAGCTGTGAGCGCAGCCTAAAAATCATACTGCTGTGGAGGAGAGAGGTAGGGAGCAGGCGAGTATTGATGTTCTGCTCGTTGATTTAAGTTTGGGGCCTTTCAGCTATGGGTCATGTCATCTCCCAGTTTAAACTTAGGTAGCTAATTCAGTTTTGTTCTTTGTGTGGAAGATACTGTTTTATATTTCTAGGAGGTACATCTTTAAGGAGAACGTCTTTAGGAAAGCTTTATTTAAGAAGTCTTGAGAAGTAGTAGCAGGTTGGTTATTTATAAAGGGAGTGTTTGTGCTGGCCTATGCATTACAGTTCTCTGTTGAATATGCATATATTAGCTTTCGGTATCTACGCATAATTATGATAACGGTAAAACTCACAAATAATTTGAAGTCCTAAATTTTGCCTCAAAGGCAACGAGAAACTTAAAAGGCAGTGACTGTTGCTTTTTCATACTTGGCAGTCAATGAAAAAGTAGATCCACAGCTCCATCTACTGGAGTCCAGACCCGCCAGCGAGAGTTCCTCTTTATTGAATACGCTCTGCACTCCGGCACGCTTGTGTGAGTAACCGCAGAAGCTGAAATAAAAAATAAAATAAAAAATACGAGATTTTAGTTTTTAGCTGGTGGATTGCTGGAATAGATTTCCCTGGAGACATTGGTGTAACATTTTGACAATTTTACCTTTTTTAACACTTGTGGGGCTTTTGCCACCATTATGTTCACTGTCTGAAAGTTGAACAATTTGCTGCTTTTGACAAGATACAGTAATATATAAAATGTAGAGCTTGTTGTATAATTCTTACCCTGTACACTTATGTATTTTATACTCGTACAACTGCTGTAGACAAGATAAAGGCCTAATATTGTGTAGTTGGATGGTTTTTCCACAGATCTCCTGTGTGGAAAGAATAAGCCCCAAGTGTAAAAAAACTTGGGCTCTTTGTTTTCTCTGTCAATGAAATACATGACTTTAAGATTTTTTTTTTTTTTAGATTAATTTGCATTTTGCAACACCTTGGTGAAGACCAACGTGAAAGGAAACTATTTCCATTTGGTTAACGTTTAAAATTGCTAGTAAGAGGGAAAATGTTTTGTTTGCACTTTACCTATTTCTCATTTGCATTGATTTCAGCACAGGAGCTCAGAAACTGTGAACTGTAGTCAGGCTCTTGAGGAAGAGCAGAGCCTGAAATAACCCACCATTATTCTCGCTGCAGTTAAATGTTTTCAAAATAGTTTCCTTCAGTATATCAAACTTTGTCTTGTGTAAAACCACATGCAAAAATGTGCATCAAAAATCCATTCCATGAACAGCAAAATTTGAATGTCTGTCTACTGCAGCACCGAGTAAACACTTCAGTTTCTGCAGTAACTGAATTTTAGAATTAAGTATTACAAAGTAATGGTTTGTGTATTTGACCAAGATTCAGATCTCCGTACAGAACACTGCGTAGACTATTTTTTGACTGTTCACGTTATGTGATAATGATGTAAAATGTATTTTGTCCTAAACAAGGAGCCTGATCTAATTGAAAGCCTTTCTAGACTGCCACTTTTCCTTGATCCTTCTTGTTTACTTGACTTCTTGCTAATACTCTAAAAACCCTATAATTTCTTTTAAGATACGTGGAGCTTTGTATTGGGTCCTAGATTGAGTGTGTAGGATCAGAACTGTTGTCCAGTTTAAATTTGAAAGAGTCATCTGGAATGGCATAATACCATTGCAAAGGTGTCTTTCTCAGCTGTTTTCTTTTTCCTCTGCTGCAGCTTTTAAGAATGATGCCAGTAGGGATGAGGATGTTAGATACAGAAGACTAGTGGTTTCATAGAGAATATGTTGGACTGAATTTCGCTCTGTAAGGGTTACTGCTATAAAGTGGTAAGCACAAGTAATTACGTTAAATGTGGAGACTGAAAGGACACACCTCCTGTTTTGTTCATAACAGGACATATATGTCAGTTTATACCTCCTCTGCAGTAAGCGGAAAAATTAATGAAAGATCTTATTTCATTAATATCTGGGGGTATTAGTATCTTGAAATATATATATATTCTTTTTTCCTGTGTTGCAAGTAGATACGTCACTTTAACTCAGTGCTAAACTTTGGCACTTCTATGCTGCAAAATGTGTGTGTATATATCTAAAATAATCAGTGTATGCAAATAATATTAAAAAATAGTAATTATTCACAGTATTCAAAGTATTTAAACTGTATATGCAGATAAGCATTCAAATATGCATGTATGTGTACATGTATGTGTGTGTGTTTTGAGAAATGTCCTCTGATAATAGCTGTTGTAGACCTGGAAAGAACAGTATAATTAGTTCATATTTTATGGGTGAGTATTTCTGTTGGTTAGACAGTAAGAGAAATGTTGAAAGTTTATTTGTGCTTTTCCTTCAAGAGGCAAGGAAGGAAGAAAGAATGAGTAAATACTGTTTTGTTATATGCAGTTAGAGGCAATGAGTTCTATTAAAAATTGTTACCACCTGGAAAGCTAAAGCTGTATATATTCACAGGTCAGTTAGTAGGAATAATCTCTATTATTATTTAGACACAACCTTTTTATTTCCAGTGAAAGTTACAATATGTGCTGTTTGCTCTGTTTTTCCTCCTTTGAGCTCTCAACATGGAGAACTCCATAATTATAGACCAGGATGGTTTGTTCTTCAGTGAACTGACAATTAAGGTGTGGGCAGGAGAATGAACGATGGGAGCAAATGTTTTGTCTGAGCATAAAATGCACAGTGATTTAGTGCATTTTAAAAATATTTTGCTCATGTACTGCAGTTGTAAAACTGCAATCTAAAGTCTTTTTTTCAGCAGTTATGTTGTCTCCTTAAAAACAAGGAAGAACCCTCACAATCTCTCAATAACCTTGTGTTGAGTGTATGTGCGTATCCATACATATTGGTGTGCCTGCAAGTACACATTCACAAAAGCAAAATACCCCCACACGATAGGTCTGGAAGCGGTTAAAGAACCAAGAGAGGTTTGTATGGGGAAAGTGGAGAGGGTTGCATGCAGCTTTCCAAAGCCCATTTTCAGTAAGCTGAACTGCAGACAGATGGACAAGCTGGTACAACGTAAGCGCCTGTGTGAGTTCAGAGGGCTACAGCTTCTCTGTGCTGCTGCCTCTGGTGTAAATGCAAACTACCTTATGTGTCAGTAAAATGGAACAACTGGCCGTGCATCAGTTTGGTGGATGTAAAGTTATTCTGATCGTTTGTGTGTGTGTGTGTGTGCCTGTACCATCAGTTCTGTCCCAATTAGACTGAATTCAAGTTTTGGGTTTCAATCGCAGGACCTTGGTATTGTCTAGGTCGGGTTTTAGCTTGTCATCAGAGATCACCAATGACTTCTAGGATTAGTGACCTTTCCCAAGCTGTTTCTCTCATCTTAAACTACGAAATTGCTTATTGATTCCTGGTGCTTGTGAATATTGTGGCTACTTGGCAGTGCATGTTCTAGTTCATGGAGCTGAACTAGATTTAAAAAAAAAAAAGTTAACAACACAGAAAGTACAGTCCAATGTCTAGTCAGAAATAGTCTCTGAACTTACTTGTTACCCTTTCATAGTAATATAACATACATATAGTTTCATTACTCCTTAAATATTCTGTTCCCATTTTTGTTTTTATATATATGTGTGTATATATACACTATAAATATATATATTGTTCATAGATAGTTGTAGCTGCATAATGCATATTCTGTTGCTCATTAGATGAATGAATTTGTTTTTGCACTTGACATACAAACATTATTTAGATAGATGACCTGAGTTTTATGTCTATGTGCTGAACACTTGCAGCTCACAAAGTTGCACTCGGGCTTTATACCTACAGCCTCTCTTGCTCTTGTGCTTATATATCACGTGTCTTTATTGCTCCCTCTGTGGTCCCGTCTCTCACAGTGGTAGTTTATTATAACGAGAACAAAAAGGAGGTAGAACTGGTATATATTTCATAAAGATTAAATTTCTTCTAGTACATCTGCTGTGCTGATCAAAATAAGTTTTTATTGCTTAAATATTTATAAAAAATGCCAAGTGTCTGTGTATGAAACACTTATTACTAATTCAAAAAACTGCAAAAACAGCTAATTATAAGCAAATAGGCTACAAGAGGATTGCAGAGAAGTGTTCAAAGGAAACATTAAACTTCAAATCTAGAAATGTGATCCCATATTTTGACAGTAAATTCCTAGAATTTACAGTTCCTTAGGAAGAATTTTTGGTGATACATATTTTAGCTTCACTGTAATGACAGCATTTTCTTTGCTGTAAGGTGATACATACAGCCTTTAGCAGGAGCATACAGAGGAATCCAACTGAAAGTTCAGTGAAGATTGGGAAATTGAAATTCTTTCCTAAAAATATTTTGTTCTACTTGGATCATGAAAAATGAAGTCTCTTTTAAGAGAGCTTACAGTTTATAAGTAGACTTGTCCCAAGAATTTACAAAACCAAGGACATTTGGGTGATATATTTATGTCTTTTGGCATGTAGATTTTATACTGTTACCCAGTGTTATCTGCATTGTATAATATATCATATATAATAATGTATCTCTCATCTGTAGCATGTTTTGAGCCACATCTTTGCTCAGCTGCCGGGTTTTCAGCGCTGCCTATTGAACATCACTTTGAAATTCTAAAAATATTCAGTAATGCATATGCAACAACTTGTAGCTGTACATAAAATTGATGTTGGCATTTCATGTATTTAGGCTGACTTAAAGCCTGTTCAAGTGGACTTTGAGGCTGAACCTTTTATCTTTCTTTTTTTTTTTTCCTCTCCTCATCCCAGATTAGTTTATTGGCTGTGAAGAACCACAGAGACTTTGTGCCCTGATGGGGGACTCGGGATCCAGACGATCGACTCTAGTATCTCGGTTGCCAATATTCAGGAGAAGTATTGGCCGGAGACATGACTCCCTTCCTTCCTCACCTTCTTCTGCTAATGCCATTGGTGTCCACACCTCCTCCCCATCCAGCACCAACTCCAGCTCAGGGAGCACAGGCAAGCGCCGGAGTATTTTCCGGACTCCTTCCATTAGCTTCCACAACAAGAAAGGGAGTGAGCAGAAGCCTGACTCAGCTAGTCAAAATGTTAACATCTCAAATGGTGCCCAGTCCTCTTTCAGCACTTTTCAAAAACTGAGCTTAGAGGAACACATTAAAAGCAGAGGAAGGCATTCAGTTGGCTTTGGCAGCTCACGTAGCAAGAAGATAACAAGGTCTTTGACAGATGATTTTGAAAAGGGAAAGGAGCCCTCAGCTAATAAGAATGTCTTTATAAATTGCATAAGCTCTGGGAATAATGAGGGTGATGATTCAGGCTTTGCAGAGGAGCAGAGCCGATATTCTGTCAAACAATCCACACGAAAACTTCTCCCTAAATCTTTCTCATCGCACTACAAATTTTCCAAACCAGTTCCGGAGAGTCAGTCAGTCTCTTCTGTGCAGCAGTCCAGGTGCTTGCTGGAGGTTAAATCGTGTGTGGAAAGTGAACCTGTGATTGCCAAGTCCTCTCCTCCATGTTCGGCGGAGACGACAGAGTGCATGGGAAGCTCCTTGCAGTCCCCGCTGCTCTCGGCTGACCTCACAGCTGCCCAGACCCCCTCTGACTTTGTCGCCTTGACGGAGGATTCTGTTTCAGAAGTTGATGCTCTGCCAAGCAGCGGGCCTGGGGTGCTGCTTGCAGAGGATTTTGGCCACAATGTCTCTACCTCTCAGATCTTCTTTAATCCGGCTGCTGCTTCTGCGAGGGAAACTGATTTTGTGGAAGGTACTGGCCGTTCTGCTGGTGTATCTCCTGCGAGTCACGCAAGCTCGTGTAGAGTTGAATCTAATACCTTATTCAAAACCTCAGCTGCTAATCAAACAAAAATATTGTTGCAAGCCAATGAACTACATGTTAACAATGCCAGGCACATAGGAGAAATGAACTCTGCAAATGCACGTTTAGAAACCTTGGCGTTTCAACGTAGAGAAGAACCGGTGAGACTCTCTCCAAACGCACACAAGTTGAGTGGGGACAGAGATGAAAGCACGCCGTCCAAGCACACAAGAGAGACAATTCCTGCAATGGAGTCTAAGATTGTTCCATGTTCTGAACCTCAGTCTTTTAAGACACAACAGGGTTATGAAACAAACTGTTCTAAAGGTATGTCTTATGGTCTTTTCATTGTTGGATTTGGTGGGGGTTTTTTGGCCTCAGTTCTTCCGTAAGAATTGTTTGGTCATTAAGTGTTTTTGTAGAGTTGCCAGTGCTAGCTAGGAAGTTCAAAAGTTATGAATTGTGCCCTCCTCTCAAAATTGTAGGAATTAAACAAAAAGTCTATGGTTTTTTGAGTTCATGTTTTACAGTTTGCTAACACTCATCCCTGCTGTTCGTAGCTATGCTTTCCTGTGATAGAAAATGGATAAAGAAAGTATTGATACTCACCTCCTGAAGGCTGCATTTTTGAGGCATGCCTATTTTGGAATTGAGCCAGAGAGTTGCATTGTTTGAGATGGAAACATTGCCAGAGAAATGGCAACCTTCTTTTAGTCTGGTTGTGAAAAATAACACAGTTTATCTTATATTGATCTGAGGTTTGAAATTTCCCAACTCTTGCTTGTTCTATTCAACTGATGTTTTAGAGTAGCTTGGAGTGGATATTTCTGTGGCAAAATTTGAGAGATCCTGTTTCTGCTTCCATCTGAAATAACATTGTGCAAGTTCTCATTATGTAATCTATGAAACAGAGTTAATTACCATCTAAATTTCACACTGGATTTTTAGTTTATGAAAGGAATTTGGAAATATTAACAAGATTAAGTGGAAAGGCTGTGCCTGGAAATCCCAGTCTATAGAGCTGCAGGTGAGTAAAGGCACCAGGCCCCTGAGTGAAGGACACCTATCAGAAGACATTTATCTCTGACAGTTTATTTTCTCAAACCAACTTAAAGACTGGTGCTTTCTTGCATAATCCTGAGGCTGTATCTCGTGGGACAAAATTTGTGAGAGTTAACAAGATTGCATTTATAGTGGTTGTATTGGAAAATGAATGAGTGTAAACTCATATGAATTCATACCCATCTTTTCACTTGGACGTTTATCAAGGCATGTAGATTATAAGCAATCAAAAGCAATCTTGCCTTTTGAATTATTTGTCCCTGCAAGGCTTGGTTAAACATCTTGTACATTAATGGCAATATGAAGTCAAATTAATCCACTAAATTAGCTTTCACCAGAAGGGACCTCTTTCC